ATTGTGTTTATGAACGTTTTCTTTGGTCTAATCATCATTACTGAACTTTTTTTTATGAATTAGAATATTTCAAACTGTAATCTGATTTTCATCAAAAGAAGATGATAATTAGTTTTGTCAATGGACAATTACTAATTATTTATTTAAGAAACCCGCATATAAAATGCAATATATATATATGTGTGTGTGTGTGAAAATTTGAATAAAATATATCTGTAAAGACAATATAAATAAAAAAAATGGACAGAAGGAAAACATTTTTTGCCAACATGTTTTGTTCCTTGCGGAGTTTTATCAAGGCAGGTATAGAAATTTTATTTACTAACCTTTATTTATACAAAGAAATAACATGGAAAAGAGTAAAATAAAATAAAATTCTCAAATGTTTAATTAGAGAATGCTCTAGAATATTCTAAAAGCTTACTGTGTGAAGAATAGATAAGCTATGGAGGATGCTAAGTGATGTAATTTTTCGAACTATTAAATGCAAGTGAGTTGATGCTGTTGCTGTTATCAATTTAATTTTTGTACAGTTACTGTAGTGATATGTAAATGAATACCTGATTAACATAACTAAAGGAATAGACTATAAAATGCCCAAACAATAAGACCAGAACAGTTTGCAGTATGCACTATAAATGACTACTGCTGGACTGAGAACATATAAAGGAAATCACACTTTGTAAAAATTACCTTGATACAATTTCTCAAGGAATGAAACATGTTGGCATAAAAGGATTTCCTCTCTCTCTCTCTATATATATATATAGATTATATATATATATATATATATATTATCCCTCACTAGTAGCATGACTCGGAGTTTCATGCACACCGCAATCTTCAGGTGCTGAGTATAGACTAACTGTTACATAATTTAAATTTAAATAAAAATATCTGGTTACTGCATATATTATATATAAATCATATATTATATAGGGATTACAGTTTTTCATTTACAAAAAATATATTTAGCATTTAAAATAAATGAGATCTATGTATACATGTGATAAAAATTACTTTAGTGGTGTGAATATTAATTTTTTAATATTAAGCACAAAGGGAGATTACTGGATGATTTAAAAATACTTAATTTACATAAAAATTAATCTGGATCAATATATTTCAGCAGATATTTATTTTTATGCCTATATATAACCATCAATTCATTTCTCTTGTTTAATAAGCTAGGATTATTGAAGTGTTTTAAGATAACTAATTTTTCAACAAGCATAAATTATATCTATCACCTTTCCTATTGAAAGATTTGGCTTTGCTACAATATCCCACATAATAATGGGTGTATTACCACCATTCTTTAATTGCCACAAATGTTTGGCAAGAACAGGGCTGTTTATGTATCTTACATTGCCTAAAGTCATTCAATGATGGTAGAAATTAAATTTCCAAGGATTTTCAGTGGAACCAAAATAAAATTTGACATCATTGCCGGAATGTATCCTAGTTCAGTATACAATATTATCAGTCATACATTGGCTGTTTAAGGGACAGATCATATTTTTTTTGGTAGTTACATTTATTTTTTAAAAAAATGGACTTTGTTGTCTTTGTTGGACATGTATCTGCTTAATATAATATTGTTATATTGGTACAGATTATCTACTAACTCCAGCAATAAGAAAATATTTGATAATAAAATTAAATATATAAAAGCTTTAGAACTAAACAACCTAAAAGTAAATTTAGAGTATTTAGAAAAAAGAAAAACAAAAGGTAAAACAAAGCAGAAACACCATAGGCATAACATATGGTTTCACCCACCTTTTAATCGTAATATTTAAATGAATATCAGAAGAATTTTCCTAAATGTAATTCATGAGCACTTTAATCATACATTAATACTAAAAAAGATTTTTAACAAAAATAATGTAAAGATCTGTTATTGCTGCGTTAATAACATCAATAAATCTATATCTAAATTGTTTTTTTAAAAAAAGAACCAGTAATCTCCCTTTAAGTTGAATATAAAAAAAAAACAATATTCACAACTCTGTTTTTTTTTTTCACATCTATATATAAATCCCATTTATTTTAAATGCTAAATATATTTTTTAAAATAAAATACTGTGAGTTAATGCCTTCTAAATCCGTTAGTGAAGTGAGTTCGACATTAATTACATTAACTTTATTGATTTATTCTTTGAATGACTATTTTATAATATTAAGCTGCATTATTTATATATATATATATATATATATATATATATATATATATATGAGTGGAGGCTGTAACTTTTCTACATTATTAGAAGTGTCCATCTGTATATAGTGGATTCTTCTGGTGGAGTAGTAGAAATTTTACATAATGATGTTAGAAATATTGTGTTAAAGGAACTTTTAAATTTCAGTTGATGCTATAGATAAGTAAAGTTTTAAAGATATATTTAAACATATTCATGCATTAACTCATTAATGCCCACCATCCCCAAATGGAATAGTCTGTATTTCTGGTCATATGTAGAAACCTATAATTAATGTCACATTTTTTAGAAACTTATAATTAATATAATTTTTTTTTTGAAAGCTATAATACAAGATCTTTATAGAAACCTATAAGATTTTTTTTAGAAACCTGTAAGATTTTTTATAAAACCTATAATTAATACAAGATTATTTTTAGAAAACTATAATTAATACAAGATCTTTTTAAAAATCTATAAGATTTTTTAGAAACCTATAAGACTTATTTTTAGAAACCTATAATGTAAGATTTTTTTTAAAAAACCTAGAATTAATACAAGATTTTTTTTAGAAACCTATAATTAATACAAGATCTTTTTAGAAATCTATGAGATTTTTTAGAAACCTTAAGGCATCTTTTTAGAAACCTACAATGTAAGATTTAAAAAAAAAAAACAACCTATAATTAATACAAGGTTATTTTTAGAAAACTATAAGTGTACATCACACAAAAGATGCACATCACAGTCAGGTGCACATGACAGAAAATAAACTTCAGTTTAGTCTACTTTTTATTCTACTTTTTCCTGGTCAAGTAAATACTCTTAAGTTTGGAATAAAAGAGTAGATTGAAATAAAAGGCATGTTGGAAAATTCATTCAAAATTAATTTGCTTTTGAAAAAAAAAAAAAGAGAAGGGAAAAGAGATTGGAATAAACAGACATTTTTGAAAAAATGGAAAATAAAATAAAAAGTGGGTGGTGGGATCTAGAATAACAGCAGATAGGCTGAAAAAAATTTAATTTTAATTAAAATACCTGGTTATGTGTACCTATTCCAGACATATGAGAGTAAGAATGATCTGGGGCTTGATAATTTACAACCCCAAACAAATCTTTATCACTTAGCCAAAGAGAAAGTAAAGACTAAAAATAAAAAGGTAGGTTAGGAATCCAATTGGCTAAAATGTACTTATCAAAATAACAAAGGTGTGGATCATCAAATAATGTTGAAGCTCATTTGTTTATTTTCACATCCTGATTTCTTCCTATTTGTTTCCTAACAAAAAAAAAAATATATATTTTCTATTTTTCATCTAACTTAAATCTCTATCATGCAATAAAATCTATTCTATAAGAAAATATATTTCTATGGTTCATCTGAGGCAAATTCAGCTGACATTTGGTTGGTCACTTCATCTGAATTAATTTGACGTAAATACAATGGCAACATTAACTATAAAAAAATTCAAAATTAACAATGTGCAATTTGTATTACTGGAAGAGTTTCTTTTTTAAATCTGCTATTTCAGTTATCTATTGAAAACCCTTTAGACAAAAGCACATTTTGTTCAAAATGATTTTGTAATTATATTTAGTAAGTCACATGTTAAGAATTAGGACACTTACATTTTATTAATGCCAATCTATTATATATGATTACTTTCATCCTAGTAAAGAGACCTTAAACTTGATTATATATTAAAATACAAAACATGAAATACCACTCAATGTTGATGCTAAAAGCTTGATATTGAACAAAGGCTCTTTAGAACTTCAGTCTAATGCTCTCCTAACAAAGCTTTCTCAATTAATGAATGACAGTTTACTTCTATTTTGTTCTTGAAATGTCAAACAAACTGATCTTGATTATGTCATTATTTTCTCTTTGAGTTACATGTTCTATCCATTTTAGTTGTTTTTGCTCTTGAAAATCCTCAAGTGATGTCATTTCTGTTATTTGGTACTACTCTTTGTGATTTTGTAACGTCACTCTACAAGGTTCAAAGAAGGATAGTCCTTGCTAAGACCTACAGGCTTTATTTGCTCAAAACCATTTTTAACTGCTGATCTGAAAAAATGGTTGTATATCTCAAGACCTACAGGCTTCATTCACTTGAAGAAGGCACCCTACATTAGGCTATATTATAGTTAGTGTGTAGATATTTCTTTAGAAAATGGTTTGTTTTTAGGGTTTTTTTTTCATTCATGTCTATTTTTCTTTTCTCCATTGGTGTAATGATTTAAGTTCAGTTAAGTGCACAAGAAAGATATTGCAACATATTTGCATTGTCTGGTGCATTGGCATTGATTCTTAGGCCCTAAAAATGCAGTCAATTACATATTTGGTAGAATTAAATATTATGCACAGTATTTCGAAAGCCCAAGTATATTCAAAGGAAAGAAGCCAAATAAAAAACATATTTTGAGATTTACAATTAAGATATCCATTTTACATATGACAGAAATATGTTAGTAATGATTGATTTATTCTTTACGGCTTATCACTCAATTATTGATTGATTTGTTCTTTACAGCTTATCAATCATTTGCAGGTTATTTAAAGCCAGATAATATTTTTAGACTGTAAATTGATTTTTTTGAGGTAATAATGATTTAGTGACTCAATGTTTTACTAATTAACCCATAGCTGGGGGGGAGGGTGAGAAGAGATGGATTCATACCTTTCCTAAGGATATTTGCATGTAAGTGAATGTAACAAACCCAACTGGAATTGGAACTTGACTATCTGATTAACAATTCCAAGCCATTATCCAGTACATCACCCACACATCCAAGCTTACAGCACCTTGTATTCTCAAACGGTCACCCATCTAGGTACTGACCATTCTTGATGTTGCTTAACATTGGTGATCATATGAGAACCAGTGTTTTAACATGATGTGGTCATAAGCCTGTTAGTAATAAGTTAATATATGAGAACATCTTAACCTTAGGAAACTGGAGATGAAGATTTTGTATCCTATTTTTAAATTAATATTAAATGTGAATCAAATGAAATAAAATTTGGGATTAAGTGTTAATGATGATCACGGAAATTATTTTCAAACTCCAAGTAATCTGTTTACATGCACCTATATAATGTATATTTAAGCAACGAGAATTTATTTAAACAAGTTTTGTTAAATTCTACCAATAAAGTCTTAATATTTGTATTTTATCTTTCCAATTTTCAAATATATTATTGCAGATCCAGATCAAAATTGTTGATAAACTGTCCAAAACTTACATTTTCAATCTGTTTTGACAGTCTAAGTCATTAGAAGAAAGCTGTTTCAAATGATTTACATTAAAAATGGATGGAGCTTGCCTTAATCAAATAAAAGAACAAAGAGATTTGGGTATTCGACTTTCACATGATTTATCTCCAAGATCACATATTTCTGAAATCATAAAGAAGGCTAATCAAAGAGTTTATATAATTTAAAATTGCTTTACGAATCTTGCTCCTCACAAAAATAAGTAAAAACCCTTTATACTGTATTTATTCAACCAGTATTCAAATATGGGGGGTGATATCTAGACCCCAGACTACAAAAACACATAACTTATTGCAATCTGCCCAGGACAAGTGTCTCAGCCTTAGCTATAGGCAAAATCAAGCTATCATCTCTTCAGTGAAGACAACAGTCCATCAATCTGTGTGCGGTATACAAAATACTGAATGGCTATTATAAAATGGAAGGAAACAATTTCTGCACCTTTTCAAATAGGAGGATGCATAGTCAAGCATAAAAATTGATAATACAACATTCAAAAACAATTACAAAATCCAACTTCTTTGTTCTGAAGGTGATAGATGAAAATCTTTAACTAGTAATGTTGTGAATGTAGCAACACTGGTTATTTTCAAAAATAAATTTAGAATTCTGTTGAAATGAGCTGAAGGACTTTTGATTCTTCTAAATTCTAAAAATTCTGTTAAACTATTGCTCATTAACGCAACGATATCTGCATTGCGATAAAAACAGCTTGATTAGAAGATATAAAACATTTTTACCTATGTTGCAAGTCAATGTAGGTAGTTATGCTTATTAATGTAGAAATACAATTAATAATATTTTGAAAATATATAAATCAATTTGAATGTCCTCAAAAACATCAAAGACTGAAGCATCAGATTCTATAAGGAAAAATTTAAATTAATGAAAATTTTTTTGTTCATTGTCTATTCAAATGCTTTATCTAATTAATTTATTTTTACAGTTAGTTTGCCTCCATATCATATATATATCTTAGCATCAAGAGGAAATGCCTTTCAGTTTTCAATGGTGTATATTAAACTATTGCTCATTAAAATCTGTAAACATCAATTTTATAAAAGTTTAATTCTAAATTACAATTAATGAAGATTTGGCTTTCTTTTCGTTTTTTAGACAAAAAATTCAAGATTTTTTTATAGCCAAAAGTTAAAAAATGAAAAAAAATTTTTTTAATTTTAATTACATTTTTATAATAGTGTAAATTTTGTGACATAACTTTCAGATTTACTATTATCCAGATTTTATAATTTGAAGTTGACTTGTATGCTATCAGCTGGCATAGATAAGGACATACTGTATTCAACTTAATCCACATTCTATGACAATGGAAAGATTTTACCTATGTTGGCAAAAAATCTAAAATTATCAAAAAGAGAATACTTTTGAAATTATTTGCATAAATATTTCACATTAAGACCAGCTTCCCAAAACTGTTTATTTGGTTTCACTTCATGTTTAGAGAATATTTGAGCAAAAAACATTTTTAGATTTAGCTTGATTTAGGATGAAAATCAGAATTTGAGAAAAAAAAAAGGATTTTTTACTGTTTTACACAAACATTTTCTAAATAGATAAAAAAAAAAAATGATAAAAATTACATGTGAAGAGGAATTTTCTCTTTTGGAGTTTACCTTTTTTTTTTTTTTTGCAAAAATAGTTTTGAATAAGTTTAAAGGGAGGTAAATGTGATAAGACTCGGTTTTTGGCCTTGACACCTACTTCAAAAATTGATTTGCTTAATTGGTATTTCAATATACACGAGAAACAGAATAACTCAAACTTGACATCTCAGAGCTTCATTTCAGAATAAATGTCCAGTCCAAATAACCATTTTAATAATATGGCCAATAAATTAACCAATTTTCAGCAAAAAAAATTACCAATATCTCAGTATTAAAATTTAATTCTGAAGAAAAAATCTTAGTTCTGTTGTAAGCCATGATTTCAAAGAGTGGGAATTGGCAAAAGGTTGAGAAACTGCCGATCTAAGAAGCTTTCTCAAAATGTCTGAAAAATTCTCATCTCAAAATTACCATAAATTCTTCAAACATCCCTAAATTCTGTTTCTGCAGGCTGAGAGTCAGAATACAGTACTACCCTCCGTAGAATCTGTTGTATCCTTCCGGGTCAAATGAGCCTTGTTTCCATTTGGGGTGCTGTCAGTGCTCGAGTGGGGAACATGTTCTGTCAGACTATACCATTGAGCCACAGGCTTACGTGGATTTTCAAGCATTTCATACCAGTGGTCTCGACCAAGGCCAGAAAACTGTGGACCAATTCCACAACACCCCATCACTTCATTACTACCAATTCTGAAAAGAGAAATACAGATAAAAGAAAAATACAGATTTACGACATTTTTTTTTTAATAAAGCTTCATATGATAGACATCAAATGTTAATGATACAGGACTGCTTATTTATTAAACTCAGAATTGGAGAATGTCAGATGTAGGGTTACTGTTTTCCAAGCAGCAAAAGAAAACAATGTTATTTTTTATTTTTTTAATAATTTCACCACATACAAGGCGATAATGCCACTAAGGAGTCACTGAGAGTGGAATAGAATGAGAAGACTTTAGTGAGAAGAAAGGACAATAAAAGAAAAAGTTTCAGGAAGAAAGATGGCAATTGATATAGCATTTAAATTTTTGATGATTTATTAAAGATTTTTTTGAAGATTTTTGATTTTTTTAGGTAGCAGGGGAGCAATAAACTGGAAGAGTTCCACAAGCGAGAAGTGCAAGAAAAAACAAAAACTATTAGAATATAACACAGTTATATCTAGCTATTTCATTAATAAAATGATGAGATATAGTTGCCAATCTAATAGTACACTTAAATTCATGCAAGTAGGAGAGCTATCATATACATACATACATATATATATATATCATTTATCATCCTTATCTTTATAATTTCCATTTCCTCATTCATCATAATTGTTTTAACAGTATCTCTCTAAATTGAAATGAAACTTTCCCTAATACAAGGCTCGAGAACCCTTCAAAGTAGAGGGTTACTTTTAAAATGCTGATGATGAATGAGGTGAGTGATATGAGTGAAAGAGAAGTAGCAGATTATGATGATAAGGAGAATAGATAACAATTGATCCTTGACTTGAAGAGATTAATATGACAGTGTTCAATTTGGAAATCTTTTAACAAAATGGCAATTCTGGGGAAAAAGTCCAGTTGAACATTTTTAAATTTGAAACACGGCGAAAACGAGGGTGATTTGACACTGTGAAGTTAGAAAGTGCATCATATTTTTTTTTTATGAAACATATATTTGATTGACAGAATAACCCATATTATTATTATTATTATTATTATTATTTTATATGTTAATATGAGCTTCCTGATACCTTATGAGTCTTTCATGGATGAATGATGGAGTAATGGATAGTGACTTGAATTGAGGAATCAGATGAATGAAGTGTGTTGTATAAATGAAGAGATGGTAGAAATGAAAATTATAAGGATAAGGAGGATAGATAATGATTGACCCTTAACTTGAAATAGGTTAAGATTTTAGTTATAATTATATATACTCAAAATTATATATACAAGTACACACACGTGCCCACAAATAATACATTTCCATGCATAAACACACTACTGCTAAAGTGAGTCAGATACTTAAATATTTCTCCTGGTGCCAGTAATCAGTGTCATTTTATGGTACTTGGAATATTGGATAACGCAATTTTAATTCCCACTTATTTTAACTTCTTTTAGACTTTGTGCTATGCTAAGTTTAATAATAAGAAGAAATTAAAAAGATTTTAAATGTTTATTAACAAGGCAGTAGGTAGGCTCTTTTCACTTCGTAGACAACACAGTCTTCTGGCTGTCCAAAACACTTGTCTTAGTGCCAGACTGGACCATATTTATTTAAAGCATCCTCTGCAAAATTTATACACACTTTATCAACTCATATTATAAAATTATTTTTGTTTTCAGGTGTAAATTGGTCTAAAAAATGTATGAAAGAATTACAATTGTTTAAGGGAAATGTAAATAAAAGTTGAAAGATATGAATGAATAATTATTAGCAACCAATGTGAATGCACATTCTGTTAAGAATCTCTAGGAAAAAAATCTACAAGACTTAGAATTCTGCACTTCCACAATATATTAAGATATGTATTTTAATAATATTAAAGAAAAAAAAATATAAAAAAAGAATGAAAAGAGTTCATTTTTAAACACCATTGTTTTTGATGTATTTTCGTACCACAAGAATTACCTCCCCTGTCAAAAATTCTTTCACTGACTGCACACACACACACACACACACACACAACAAATAAAAAAAAATGATTTTATTTTTGTTTTATTTAAGGCCAGAACATAGAATTGAAAGTGTTCTTACAGAACTACATCTTGTAAAGGATTTTTGCAACAAAAATAAAAAAATCTTAAACATAATTTGATCTCTTAGTGTGCCATGATATATTGTCACGATATGTGTGTGGAAGTAGTAATGATACACTATAGCATTAGTATTTGAATAAAGGAATAAGTATTAAAATTATTTTTTCAAATAAATCATTTTTTTACACTATACCATGATGGTCAAGCAATAGCTTAAAGGGCTGGACCATGGCTGGTCAAGAACTTTCACATCATGTCGCCTTCAACATAAGGCTTCCTAATTCTCCTGATTTGAATCCTCTGGACTAATAAATTTGGGGGTATCACTGAGAGAGAAACCAACCAATTGTACTACAATTCCACGGACTTGTTGAAGGCTGATACTAGACATGAGAGCTGACAAGAATGAGAACCATCTGATCTGACACTTCTGAAGCTGAAGGTTATTTGGTACTACTTAAAGAAACTGGTTCACTTGTAAAAAAAATAGGAAACAATTTTAAAAAGAATTTGTGGATGAGTATTCATTAGACCTAGTCAATTGAAAAAATATTGATTTTGAATGTGGGTCCTGTTTATAATGTCGATACAGTATCAAACTGATCCCAGACTTTTACAGAGTTATTGGTCTTAGTTGTTTTACATATGAAAACAGACATTTTTTTGTTGGTTACAAAAAGATTTCTTTTAAATAAAGAACAATTGGATATAAAAATTTGTAAAGAACAAGAATTTACATACATTAATAAAAGTATGCATCCATTTATTTTTTATTTAAGATTAATAATTATTAATATAAAACGTTTGTGAATGTGCTCCCAAAAAAATCTTATACAAAAAAATTTTTTGTAAAAAGTTTCAATTTTCTGAAGTTTTTAATTTTCTTTTTTTAAAAAATCCATTGTTTTATTGAATAACCTTTTTTTTGATTTGACCATTTGAACATCTGTTTTAATTTTTCGTATTAAATAACTTTGTTATTTTTATATGTTATAGTCTTTTCGTAATTATCTGTCACACTTTTTATATTATACAGGACTGGCTCAAGGTACTGGCAACTCAGGTAGTCACCTGGGGTGCCATCAAACTGCCATATCATGTGTTTGGGATCTTCCAAATAAAAAGGAAAAAAATGTGAAAATGATAAATAAAATGAAATAAAAAACTAAAATATTAAATTTCTTAAGTAAAATTTTTGAGAATTTGATTATTAATTCTTTCTGTTATGGTGCAGCAATAAACCACCATAACAAAAAATAAAATGAATGAGTGGCCAACATGGACATAATGATCATTTTCGTCTATAAGACTTTGAAAGATTTGAACAGTTACAAAATTTCAATAACACAAGGGAAATTTAAATAACCTAAAAGACCTGCAAGATAAAAATAAACACAAAGTATCATGGCATGGTTTGGAGGATAAGTTAAGCTACCAAGAAAATAGCAATATTAATAGATGTGATCTCCTAACTGAAATGAATATTGCAAAAAAATTACTTCCTGAAGTTGTAAAGCTTCAATAGAAGTCATCACATTCTTAAACACTAATAATTTACAGGATGTCATGCCAAATCCATGGGTTGCATTGAGAATAATGCTTACTATATCCATTACTATGGCCCCCAGAGACAGAAGCTTTAGTAAACTAAAGCTTATAAAAACACTAGTAGTAGAGCCCGGCGTTGCCCGGGGATGTAACAGTAAGAAATAGATCAAGTATCGACCATCATAAAGACTGAAAAATAAAATTGACAAAGATTATTGTTTAAGGTTGACGGACACGCATGTCTTAATTAGTTTTATTTATTTATTTATTTTACGAATTGGTCAAACCCAAACTCAAACAAAAACATTGTTTTCAATTGTTATGAGTCTACCGATTGAATAGAATTTTATTATAAACAATTGTCTTGTAAATGGAATTTTTAAAGCATTCTTAATGTAAAAATAAAGAAAAAAGTGTGCAAGGCAATAAGAAACACTACCTGCCAAAAAAAAGTGAAGTTTTGTTGAAATCGGTTGAAAAATGTAGGAAATCCGATCCCATATATAAACGAATACACATACACAAACAACCAACCTGGGTTTTATAATAAGTATAACTCGATAACTCGATATTAATAAGTATAACTCGATATGAGTTGTCCCCCTTTCATTCTCGTGATGCCTCTTAATCATGTTTTCAAATTGATTTCGTGCAAAAACAATTGTGTTTTTCCAATTTTGGGCACTGTCAGAACCACTACGAAGTAATTTTACATAGTCCTGTGAAGTTTTGCTGAAATCAGTTGAAAAATGTAGGAAATCCGATCCAATATATAAACGTACAGACACACACACACACACACAACCTGGGTTTTATAATAAGTAAGATACTTGCAGTTGTCCATGGCTCAAGACAGTTCTTTGGCTATTTTGTCAATAGAAAATGATCTTGTAAAGAAGATAGGTGTAGAAAGTGTCATGAAAAGATTTGCAGATTTAAAAAAAATATTTTAGATAGGATAATGAATATTTTCTTTAACTTGTATTGTTGTATATTGTAATAAACTTGTTATTCTACATTTTCATTTTTTCTTCTTGTGAAAATTAAAAAAAAAAAATTATAATTATAAGGGTGCTGAAGTTTAGCTTGCCCAGGGTGGCAGCAACCCTGGGGCCAGCCCTGATTATATATATATATATATATATATATCATTAACACCCAACACTCGCCGACCCAATTTAAACAATTCACCCTAGCTGTTACCATGGAAATTTTGATTTCAATTTTTTTAAAACACGTAAATTTCAGATATACGTTATTCAAAAAAAAAATTTCGCTTGAAGATGGAACAGAGCTTATTTTAACTCAATTTAATTTAAATAATTATATTGAAGTTTTTTACTCTTGTTTTTGAAACATGAGACTTCTTATGTAGCGTTTTGGAAT